CCAACGAAAATGCCCGCGTAGAAATACTACTCCAGCAGTCGTGCTAGAATTCGAAACTGGCTTCGTCACAGCTTTACTCGACTCACAGGCGCATGAATAGTATGTAAAACCGAAAATCGCTCATAAATACGGAACTGTTTACAAAGGACACACCGACGCGGTTAGACTAGCGGAACACACTGCCGACACGACCGACAATAGTGCGGGTCAGGTGTTCAAAATTTTTTCTGACACAGTGGGAAGAGGGTGTCAGTCGACCCGGCGAGTCCACTAATGTCAGTTAACGCTGTCAGTGGGCGAACCGGCGTCGTGGTTAAGAACCAGCTGTCCCCCATTCGAACCGTAAACCACCCGAATAATAACCAACGAAAATGCCCGCGTAGAAATACTACTCCAGCAGTCGTGCTAGAATTCGAAACTGGCTTCGTCACAGCTTTACTCGACTCACAGGCGCATGAATAGTATGTAAAACCGAAAATCGCTCATAAATACGGAACTGTTTACAAAGGACACACCGACGCGGTTAGACTAGCGGACGGACACGTCGCCACGACGAACGGTACCGCCACGTTTACCACCAAAATCGCGGATTTAGAAGTGCGTTTTTCAGCAGTTATTTTAGACGAGCTGTATTGCGACGTATTGCTTGGCCATGATTTTCTGATTGATCAGAAAGTTACCTGGGACTACTCAGCAGGAACAATACACTTGGACACTAAGAAACATGCAACCGCTTGTTGGAAATCACGTTGGCGCACGACACACGATCCGCAAACCAGATCTGACGCAGTTAGATATAACCGGCGACTCACAGACGCGCGCGTTATTAATACAGACGATATCACCCTCGCTTGCAAGGGACCAGACAGGTCGAAGGCCTGCTACAAGTGCAGAAAGGAGGGGTATCTTTCAATAGACTGACCCAGCAGAAAAGAAGGTCGGGATTCAAATCCAACTGACACCTGTGACACGATGATGGCCTACCCCCACCTCCACGTGGTCCAAGCCTGCCAACCACAAACAACTCAAACAAAGTTGAGACGGAGTACTATAGGAACCCGAAAAAAACAAACTGGGACAACTACAGGGCAGATCTCTCTCGTGACCTGAATAACCTACAGTTTAGATTGAGGTCGAGACAGAGTACTGAAAGGGCTGTAAATATACTACAAGACTCCATTGTCTCGGCTTACAAAGAAAAATGTCCTTCAATAGAAAGAAAAGGTACAGAACAGGGTGTAGCTTGGTGGAATGCTAACTTATCTAAATTAAGAAAGAGTTTACGTAAGCTCTTAAATAAAGCAATGAAATCAGGTTTAGAACAAAATTGGGAATCCTATAAGGACGCCCAAAGCAACTACAAATCTGCATTGAAAAAATCCAAAAGAGAAAGCTGGAAGAAGTTCTGTGGGGATATACAACAACTCCTTATAGCAACTAGACTTCTGCGATCACTAAGGAATAGACCAAATAAAAATTTCGAGACAGTACTACTGCCGGATGGCATGTTTACCAATAACAACAATGAAAAATTATTACATTTAATGAACACACATTTTCTTGACTTTGGAATTAACAACAGAGAACAGTCACATGATACACAGGACAAACGTGTGACCTGTGCTGATTGGAAACTAACCAGGAGAATGTTTACTTCAAGTGCCTAACGACTAAGATAGGAAAAGCTGTGGAGAATAAAATGTATGCAGTAGGTATATTCTTGGACATCAAAGGGATTTTGACAATACTCCCTTTGATGCTATGTGTGAATCTGCACTTATTTTTAAGTGGATAGAAATCATGCTTAAGGAACGCTTCATTTTGGGACAGCTCAATGAAACCAAAGTAATCAAGAGTGTTAAATAGGGATGCCCACAAGGCGGGGTAAGGGAGATAGACTCCCTTGCTATGGTGTCTAGTATTGAACTCGCTTATTAAAAAGTTAAACAAATACTGTAACACAAGCCTATACGGATGACTTAGTTATAGCAGTGGTGGGTAAATTTCCAGACGCTATTATAAACTTAGCACAAGAGAGCCTTGGGAAGAACATGAGGTCTTAACCCAAGAGTTATGAATTGGTTGTACACTTCAGTGATTAAACCTATGTTATTGTATGGTGCCTTAGTCTGGTGGACCAGAACAGCACTCGTTACAACTATGAAAGAACTAAGTCGCATACAGAGAATGGCTGCCATAGCCATCTCTTGAGCATTTAGAACTATACCAACAGTCGCATTAGAGGCACTAATCGGATTGCCTCCTGTGCATCTAGAGGTCAAAGCTCACGCCAAAGAGACAATACTAAGATTCCAAAACTTAGGTATGTGGACTTTGGAGAGTGACATAGCAGAACACAGTAAAATAATAAAAGAGATAGACCAGGGCTTTTTGGAATTACCCTTGCATTATATCAAACTGATTCTTAAGAATAACATTCACTACAAAGTGGAAATCACTACACGGAGTATTTGTAATATACCAAATATGTATACAAATGGATCCATAAAAACAGGAAAGACAGGTGCTGGTATTTGGGGTTTAAAGTCCACGAATAAATGTCAGTATGTCATTGGGTACAACACCCTCTGTTTTTCAAGCAGAGGTAAGGGCGATACTGGTAGGGGCTCAGAACCTGCTGGTATACAAGAATAGGAAGATAACTATCTTAAGTGACAGTAAAGCGACTTTAAAAGCTTTCTGTAATAATTAGTTGAATTCAAAGTTGGTTCTCAAATGCAGGGAAACTTTAGAATCACTATCGAGGTTCAACAAAGTTACACTATCGTGGGTACCAAGACACAACGGTGTCACTGGGATTGAAAATGCTGACTTTCTAGCCAGGAAAGGAGCAGAAAATACCATTGTTGGACTAGAATCATTGGTAGGACTCGCTGAGCAATCGCTCAAAGCGCTACCCAAGAATTGGTGCAGAGAACAATACAGGGAAATCTGGAAGTACTTGGTAGTACCTAGACAATCTAATATGTTTTTTCAAGATCCCAAGNAGAATTGGTGCAGAGAACAATACAGGGAAATCTGGAAGTACTTGGTAGTACCTAGACAATCTAATATGTTTTTTCAAGATCCCTGGTCTAATGTTGGGTGATCTTAATAGCATGACTAGACATGGTCACCTACTTAAAAATCTTAACGCAATGGGGGTATCGAAATCACCATTGTGCACCAAATATGAAGTAGAAGAAGAAGACTCATTTCACATTGTGTGCGAATATGAAGACTTGTCCACACTAAGATCAAACTACTTGAGTAAATCTTTTTCTGAAAAAGAAGATATTAAAAACCTAAAACCCTAAAGAGAGATACTTAATTTCGCCCAAAAGACAAGACTCTTTGGTCATCTATAGGGATGACTTTATGGTAGCAAAAATAGCATTTGGTAACTATTTTCATCGTGAAGACAAAATAAAGTCCGAAATTTTTTTTTTCCATGATAAAGTATATTACATTAGTTTTAATTTAAGATATATATATAAAAGTGTCAGACTATTCGGAACACTTACAAAAGTTAATTTTTTGTGAAAATTGTCATTTTAAATCCCCCCCTGTGGGCAGGTAAAGGGTCAAATTTATAAAAAAATATACCAAATAAAACGTAAAGACACGTGTATCTATAAAAAAAATTATATTGAATTGGCCATTTTTTAAAAAGTTATGGTAGTTTTTAAAATAAAAATATTATTTAAAAAATTGAAAAAATGTCGAAAATTAGAGATTTTTAAATTTGTAATTTTTTTTGGAGATTTACCCCATTTACGGGGAACGAGGGAAATTTTTTCAATTTTTGAGGATAATGTCTTTGACTAGATACGATTTGTGATCTTTTGACGTATCCTTGAGAGAAATCGGTTCGGTGAGAGCTAAGAAAAAGTAGTAACAGACACAAAAAAAAAATAATAGTAATCTAATCAAAAAATGACGGATAATTTTAAAAAAATGACTATTTTAATAAAGCTCCCATGCCATATTTTTCGTTCATTATTGTTTTAAGCTTATTTTAAAAATTATTTTTAAGTTTTTAGATCCATATGCTTTAAAAGCGTGTTTTTCAGTTTTTTTTAAACTAATTATTGTTTTAAAAAATACTTCCATAAAAAGTTCACAAACATTTCTATATTTTTTTATATCCAATAAGAACACATTGTCCCTAACTTGTCTCCCCTATACTTCGAAAAATCTAATATTGAAAAAAAAGTTTATGAAAAATTCGATATATTTTGTTTGTAGAATGATTAGTTATTACCAAACAATGCAAATTAATAACATTAATTAAGTAAAATCTGAATTTGTTTGCAATTTACCGTAATTGTGAGGCGAGCCTAAACATTTGACCGTCACTGAATGCATGTTAACTCGCCCAAATTAAATCTTGGCAAGTTGACACAAAATTTATTTTTAACGTTTTCATTTTTGACTAAATATATAATCTAATTAAGAAAATGTAATTTTTTCATGTTAAAACATGTGTGTTTATGAAGTTGTGGAGTTGCAAAACACTAATTGACATATTATTGATACGAGTTCAAAAAAGTGTGTCAACTAGGAAATGTTAACATGGATTTTATTAATTATAAGGAAAATACAATTAATAAATATTTTTTGTAAAAAAATCGTTTTTAATTTGGTTTTCATAAAATTATTTTTTTCGATTTTTACGGCCTTTTACTATTATGAGTATTCCTATGTTGACATTAAATTGCTTATAAATATTTATTAGTAGTCTATTATAGACTATATTTTTATTTTGTATTTTAACATATAAAACAGTTGTATTGTTTTTAAGAGTTTTATACAACATTTTTTGAGAAAATAACAGTAACTGGCACAAAGTTCACACCACTTTTACTTTTAATATCTGACTTCTCTTATTAGCGCCAAAATCATTTACTAAAAAATAAAACTCTATTAAGTGCATAATTATAAATGGAAAAAATGAGTTAAAAGATTGACATTTGTAAAAAGAAAATTGATTTTCAGTTTTATCATAACACCGTGGTTTTATTTTAAAAAATTATATCAATCAATAACATTAATAAAATGTGATTATTTACAAAATTTTACAATTTTAAAACACATTTTTAACAATAAAAACGGTAACCATTAGTCTCTAATAGCTAAAAATATAATTTAATAATATTAGCAAAAAAAGTAAGATATTTCGAAGTGTTATTCTTCATTAAAATACATTTATGATAGAAGACATGAATATTTGTTGAATAATTTGTGGTATATGTTTAAGATCCATGCATACAAAACTTTTACCGGTTGGTAGACTCCTATTTAACCTGCAATACGAGTAATATTTATATAAAAACATTTATTATTTATTTTAATGTAACAGAAAACAAGTATACTTTTTGATAGGGCACCTAAAACTAAAAAAGGCTTAAAATGTATTTTGACATGATCTTCCACATTAGCCATTATAAAGTATTCAATAACATCTCTCCATTTCTATTTTAATCTTTCACTACTTCTTTTTCATAACTGCTTTACAGCTTCCGATTTCTTTCTCCTCATAACAGCTATCTATAATTATTTTTTCTTAACTCATCTACGATTAACGCTACACCTATACTCCTTCTTCTGTTTATTCCTTATCTCATCACTCCACTCATCCATCACCTATAGACACTTAGGCCAGTTAGCAAAGGAAAAATGGCGGAAAAAATTCCCAACCACATTTTTTTTTTTTAAAGTTGAATTAAGATATAAAAATGACATACTAAAAGTCCTCATTGATTCGAATTGAGCTTTTTTTTACAGCCTTGCAAAAGTTCAAAAGTATGAGTTTTTTAATTTTCTCAAAAAATATTTAACTTACAAAAAAAATTTTCGTACAAAAGTTGTTTAAAAGACAATTTTAAAGAAAACATGTATTTTATATTTTTTTCATTTAAACAAATGTTTTTCCAGTTACATTACATTTAATATATGTACTAAAATTTATTTTCCATTTTTTTCATTTTACGGTTACTTTTAATCATGTTATACATTAGACACAATGTTATAAATGCATATGTGTGTATGTGTGAGTTTATTTATTTATAGTATCATTAAAGTGAAGTGTATATTAAGATACAACCGATAGAGGAGGTAATTAATTTAACGCTATATTTTTTAAACCCAACCAAACGCTAAATTGTACATTCCCAAACAACAATTATATTATGTCAATTGCCACCGGAATTTCTGGTAATGATAAAGATAATTGTCACAAAACGTATTGGCCTTTAGTCTGGTGCTGGCGCTAGTAAAAATTGTGCCTGCCGAAAAACAGGGCTTAAATGTTCTATTATATGTGACCATTGCAAAGGTCAATGGTGTACAAATCCAATAGAAATAAAGATTAAAAATTAAGAAGATTGTACTTTTGTTGAATATATATTCTATCTAAATTTAGAATGAGAAAATTAATAAGGAAATGGAAAAAAATTTTGTTTGATACTACAGTTGTCAAATAACTTTATAGAGAAGAAATTCTCCATTGATTACATACTTAGCACTAGTAATGCATATAACTTGTATTTAGGATATAAATAAAGAAATAGGAGATGATGTAGCTTTTGTAATAATCCATTAAAATTAAACACTATCTACAGATTTGCATCAAGGCGTTTTTTTATGATAATGATTTTAATCACTGTCACATATCATCTTTTTCACATTGACTTTCCAGGCAAAAAACCAAATTAGTTCTTTGTTACTGATGTTTCTCCTTTTATTATTTTGTATATTACCTTTTCCCAAATCTTCATGCTATGACTTATGAGTAACCTATAAAATAAACTTTATACCTCTATAATTTCCACACTCTTGTATATCTCATTTGCCTTTAAATATCGGAACCACAATACTAGTCCTCCATTCTTCATTTTATCTATACTTTTACTGATCCTACTGCTTCATTATTTTTCATTAATACCTTCCATATCTCTTTCTAACTAATTAAATCTACCAGTCCCTCGTTCCACAAGATATCCTCTAAGGTCTCTTGGTTTGAGTAATTTTTCAAAATATTCTCTCCTCCTTTTTTTTACATCATCATCACTTTACAGTACCCTATTATCAAAATTTTTTATGCACATTACATAATGATAATCTTTAGAATGTTTTTCTTTTACTATTTTAAGTTTATAGACTTCTTTTCACCTTTCATTGTTCCTAGCCTATTATAGAATTCATCATACCTCTTAAATTTCACCTTACTTACCGCAAACATGGCTTCTTTACACAAACATTTTACTCCATCTAATCTTCTCTCATTTTGCTCTTTTGCCATACTTAGAACTGTTTTTTTTACTCTATGATTTTCTGAACGTTCTTACCCCACCACCAGGTTTTCTTGTTTCCTGGCATTCTACTCCTACTCTCATCAACAATCTTCTTTGCAATATGCTTTACATAACAACAAATCTATTCCACACCATCCTCTCTTTTACCGTCTTTAAAAACTCCTTTTCTTTTTCCCCTTTCAATTTGATTCTCATCCTGAATTTTTTTTTTTTTTTTACTTTCTTCCCACTAAACCACTAACTTCATTACCATTAGTGTATGTTATATAATTACACAATCTTTTCCACACAAAATAATCAATCTGTGATCTATTATTACCACTCTTATAAGTTTTATAATGTTCCTTCCTTCTTTCTAAAATAAGTATTAACCACAACAAGATTATACAACATTAAGAAATCCAGGGTTCTTTTTCTTGCCTCATTCTTCCCACTAAAACCATACCCTTTGTGTACTCTTTTGTATCCTCTCCTCTCATTTCTGACATATTCATTCATATCTAAACTTATTACTGCATTATCATTATCAAGTATTCCATGCATCACCTCATCTATCTCCCTCCAAAATACTTCCATGTCTATTTCATCACATCCTACTAGTGGTGTATAGGCACTTACTACATTCAACACTTTTCTTCGAAAATGAATGTTACGACTACAATTCTGTCACTTTTTCTAACTACTTCTAATACTTTACTTTATACCTCTTCATCTATTATTATCCCTGCACCATTCTTTGTATTGCTTTTACCTGAGTATATTATTTTACAACCTTATTTCCATTACTTTCCCTCCCTTCCACTTAGTTTCCTGCACATAACAAATATTAACTTTTTTCCTCTTTAATATTTCTACTAACTCTCTATTTCTACCAGATAATGTTCCAACATTCCACATATATATTCTTACTTTGTATCTATCCTTCTCGCTTTTACTAAAGTTGAGTGATGATGTCCCTACACCATTGTCACTACAAGCGTTATTCACATAACTAGTGAAACAGTTACAGCACAAGTTATCCGGCTGGTATCAAACACTTTATTCTTTAAGCATTCTCCATCAATAATTATTTTATTTCCTCTCACCTGTTGTCACCGGGTATATCCAAAATGGGACAATCCACCTAAGTATTGTTCAAGACCTAAAAAAACCTCATTTGTCGCCTTTTATGACTGACAGAGGGGCCTTGGATTGATACTTATCCCCTATTCACAGGATTTATATATATACATTATTTTTAATTTTGAAATAACCATTTTTATAAATTATTCTTTGAATTTTAATTAAGAAAGTAATTATTATTAAAAAAAAACAATTTCAACAAAAAGATAATTGGATAAAAATTTATAAACATTGTTAGTTAGATTGATGATATTCTGTAGCTTGTTAAATTTAATTAATTACAATTTTTCAAGTGCAATAATTATTAAATTTTGCACTCTATAGGCTTAAGTTTTAAGTTGAAATAAAGATAATTACATATACCTAGTATTAATAATATTAATACTAGATATAAAAAAAATATTGGTATAATAATTTTTAAATATTATACAAATTTTGGATTTAAAATAATATATACATACATATCAGCTTGATCACCAAGAGAACCAATGAAGATTGCATATGATTGTACATCTGAACTAAGAGTAAGCGCAGCTGCTAATTTTTCAGGTCTAATGTTATAACGTGCTAAATTAGCATCAGATAAAAGTATAATAACAGCTTCATCAAAATCCTTATTTTCAGCTTCTAATGTTTTTTGAGCATAAACAACTGACTGAAGAGTGTTATCGCCAGCCATACAAAATTGAGTATGAGCATGCATTTTTTTAATAACTTCAAGTCTTTTTTTGTTATCAGTAGGAGGATTAAATTTATCAACAAACTTTAGGCATTCAGTTTCACCAGAATGACCAACAATATCATATATTATTTTATCTTCAAAACCACTAAGAGCTTCCATTACCAAAACTACAGCTTCAAGTTCACGATCCAATCTTCCATCATAACTGTTAAATCTATACATACTACCAGATACATCCACAATAAAACGTAAACGTTTAGGTTTCAGCTGAGGAGCTCCAATTTGTGGATCTATATTACTACGCTTTCGATAAATTGATTTTTCACCAATAACACCTTTATTCAAAAAATGCAAAAGATGATTTAAATTAAATTTCTTTTTTATTTTATTTTGTCAATATGGATTTTAGAGTGAAATAATTCTAGCTAATAATTCTTAAAACTTTTGATATAATAATAATTATAATGTATTTTTATTTTTAACAATTTATATGTTTTTAGAATATATTAATTGCATATTATTTATTTGTCTCCAATGAATCTCTTCATTTATTACTATTATTATTTTTTTGTTCACATAAAATATTTGCATTATTATTGTTTAAATTGTAATATATTTTTTTTTTTATTCTTGTAAAACCTTGCTTGGGGTTCCAATATAATAATAAAAAACAATATTAACTAATTATTTTTATTTTTATATATAAGGAAAACTAAATATAACTGTTAACTTTTATAACTTATAATTTAATAATAATTATTTTTTTAAAATTTTAAATAATTAATATTTTCTTTTACTATTAAAACCATAAGTGTAGTTTCACAAGCAAAATGTCACAAAATTCTTATAATTTTAAAAATCATAATTTAGATATTTTATATGAACTAAAATAGCAATAATAATAATAATAGTAATAATAAGTGAACAGATTCAATTTATTTAAAAAGATAATATTAGAAAAGGCCTATACAGAGTGATCCGTATATCATATACAATTTTGTTACTCACAGAATACAAATTATATTCATTTTTATTTTTTGGTTACTTTTAGTTACATATTCTACACAAATTATTAGCTCTGAAATGATTTTTAAGTTCATCCTGTATGCCTTATAAGGGCGTCAACTTTATTTTATCAAATGGAAACAAATAATTTTAATTTTTTAAATTAACACTTTGATAGACAAAATCATATGGCAGTAATATTAAAATTACTGGGGTCACTTTTAAATATTACTGCTATAACAGTGGTTTATTTATTCTAAAAATGTCATTACTGATATAGCAGTAATATTTTCAATGATTTCTTATGAAGGAGGAAGTTGTTCTGACCCCATGCATCTCATAAAACCAGTGGGCACTCTATTTTTAAATAAACCATGACATTAACTGTTCATCAACGTATTAATAAAGTTTTTTATTGTTATTTTATAGAGTTGGAAATATTTATTTTACTTAATTCATTTATCAGTCATAACATTTTCAAGTTTTGATTTTTGGAATTAAAATACATTTGTAACATCTGAGGAATTACAAATATAAGTAGCCAAATGCTTCTTTACAAATGCGTTATTCACAGATATGCAGTGATTATTGCCCATTACAGCACTATTCACAGGTAACAACAATAAACGCTGCATAACTATCAATTGACCAGTCATAAATGAGTTCAATTGCTACTAATTAGTATAATGTCTCATATATTATATAAGGATTTTAACATAAAAATTCAAAACTAAGTTAAGATTTTAACTACTATAATAGACATTAAACTAATTTTTTTTTCTTTTATAATTTATAAATATATTTTTACAATATATCTGAATAACTGAAAAATTATCTTTGTAAACAATTTTAATTTTTTAAATTATTATACCTTCTATTAATTTAGTATCATCTAATTCCCCAGAAGTTTGATGTTTGACCCATTGTCTTTCTTTGGATTTGGCTTGCAATGAATTTAAAATTACTCTTAAAGCTTGTACCTATAAATTTAGATTTTAGTTATACGCAAACTGCATTAAAAAAATAGGTTACTTGTTTTTGCACTGGTTGGGAATATTCATTATAGACTTTGTCATCATATTCAGACATTTCAATTTGCTTAAGACGTTCTTTGTAAGCTTTTTGCCCCATTTCTCTAGCTGCTTTTTTTACATGTTCAGGTACAGCATTTTTTTCTTCGTCACTAACCTAAACTTACAAATTTCATAATTCAAACTTTATCAAATTACTGTTTTTTAACTTTTACAACATTTTTAACATTTGGTTGATCAATAATCACTAAACATGTTTGGTGATTATAGATTTTATTAAAAAATTGTTTCATATTGTTTTCAATGAAGCACCAAAAAAATGTTAAAAATTTATTTTTTAGATCACCAAGGATTATTTAGATTAAAATACAGCTAATTCCATCCAACCAGAATATTTATGTTAAATTTTAGGTCTAATATGATTAAAAATAGATCAAGTTCAATGTTATATAGTCCTTCAAAAGATCTTATACTTGTTAAAAACTGTTTTAGTAAAAGAAATATATTACAGCTTTATCAATTATATATATTTTCCTAAATAATTGGAAACAATTGGAGTGAAAAAATGTTATATCTTACTCATATTGCTAATAATTTATTAAAATTTTACAAAGTTTAAATACATTTTAAAGTTTTTTTTACAAATTAATTAAGTTTTTTAAAGATTTATTGTAAATTTTGTTTTAAAAAAAATAGATAATTGTTTGATATTTTTATAATTTGATGATCCGGTGCAAAAAAATTTCTGGTAAATGCCAACTTTCACTATTATCATTAATTAAAAGTGCCTAAACATTTTTTTAGTGCTCTAATAAAATAACAAACTTCAATAATTACAATATACCTGAAAAACTTTATGTTTGGCATCAAGTCTATAAGGACCACCTTTTCCACCAAGTCCTGCTGTATCTCGACCTCCAGTACCTCCTGCCCATGTATTTCCTCCAACATGAGGTTCATTTTTCTCATCAACTTTTCCATGTTTTGGACTTGATACATCCAGTCCACTTTCCTTTTCAATGGTTATTTGAAGATTATCCTTTTCTTAAAAAATATACTATATATTATACAAGGGTAATTACAAATGAATAATTATAAATAAAAAGAAAGAAGTATTTATAAATAGCATATTTTTAAAAAATAACCAGAATATGACATAAATAATCAAACAAATACTCATACTCTTTCCAAACCTTAAAATACCAGTTTTAATCATTTGCATTGTTAAGATTTGCTATTATGACATACAATTTTACTTCCTCAACATTTCTTTATAAATGGACTAGTGCTTAAAATACATTTGATTTCAGACGACATATTTATTAATACAATAAACTGCCAAAGGGAGTGTCACTAAGAATGGTTTGATTCTTATTATCTGATGAAAATTTATATGGATTTTTTTTGCTTGATTAAGAATTGAATCTATTTGTGGAGTTTTCTATGTTTTTCAATATTTCGGTTACACATAAGAAGGATAGTTCTAGTTTTCTTAAGTCAGGAGGGGTTTCTCCACTTATGTTTCTTATGCTTTCAATTGAGCTTGAACGAAAAGCTCCAATGGCAAGCCTTCTATTTGTTTGAGACACTATTCAATATTTTAAGGTATGATGGAACAGCTGAATTGTAAAAGGATGTCAAACTTTACATTAAATTTATATAAAATAATATTATAATATATTTTGAATTTTGAAGAATAAATTTCAAATTATTGTGTTGTATATTGAACCTACAGTGTATGCACTTGATAAAATTGCAGCTTGATCCAATATTGAGATATGGGTTAAAATTGAGTTTTAACACATAATAGTTTTTAAGATTTGTAACATATCGGGAGATAGATAGGCAATAAGACATGTGGAGATAAATAAAATCTTTTAAAGATAAATAAATACATGTTTCTTTTTTAATTATTTGCATATACTAACTAGTTGATCTAGACCAAGGGGATAATTTTATTGGCATTTTATGTTGACTGAGAACATTGGTAATGACTTCTTGAGCTTCTTTTGAATAACTATCAAAATCAAATACATTTCTTATAGCATCAGAAAGAGAATCTTGTGGATAATTTTGTAAATGTTTAATAATGTTGACTGCTTCTCGGGTTGAATAAGGATATGATACTAAATTTTTATCAAATAATTGTCTAAGATCTCCAAATGCTAAAATTATTTGTTCAATAATTTCTTCAGAAACATTTGGACCATAACTTTTTAACAATAGAGTTTCAGATTCTTGACTTGGATTATTAATAATATGACAACTGAATACATCACCTAAAAATTAATTTCTCATAAACAATTTTTTTTTTTTTGGTATAAATAAATACTATACCTAATGTGCTGAATAGATTATTTCCTAAAAATGGAAAACCAGGTCGATTAGCTAAAATTATCATTCTAAAATCAGGATGAAGTGAAATTATTGAGTTATTTAATGATGAACTATTTTTATTGTTAACAATTAGTCTTCCATCAGCAAGTCTCATATTTCCAGTTTCAACAAGATTTTTAAGCACACATGTTACATGAATGGGTGCTTTGTCAGCTTCATCGACTACTAAAACATAACCAGCTTTAACTGCTTTAACTAAAGGGGAATCTTCAATTTTCAATAAACCATCAATAACTGTTTGTTGACTGGTTAATGATTGAACTGTTGTGTCTCTAAATTTAAAAATGCAATTTAATGTTCATAAAGATTTAACATTAAAAAAATTATACCTATGTAGTTGAATATATTCTCTGGGGCGATTCATTAGTTGTAAAAATCTATCAACTATTTTATTTTTACCAACTCCTTGGTTACCAACTAAGAGTAAATGTTCACCTAGCATAAAATCTTGCAACATTAGTTCCAACTGTTTTAAATGCTACAATGGATAATGAATTGTTTGTATGTTAAATAGAAAAATAAAAGTAAATTTCTTTTAAGTAAAGCATCAAATACTCTATTATAAAAATAGTAATTTTCATATAAAATGTGTGTGTGTACCTGAGGTAAATCATAAAATAATATATTGGGAACTTTAGTTGTTGCATTTGTACTGTATCGTGAAACAGTAGTCTGTCCAATTGTTACATATTCATTATTATATTTACATTCTATTACACTGTTATTTTCTTTACTTGTTATAGGCCTTATGTTACACTTTCGCAAAGTGTTTTCAAGCATTTGTTTAGTTAAAAGAGGTAAGAATCTATAAAATGACTAATCATTTTACAAGTTCACTTGAAGAATTAATGTAATGCAAATACAAATATATTTACTGAGATAAGCAAGCTTTGTTAACAATGCTGAAAAAGTCTGAATCAGAATATTTTTCAAGTCTTTTTGCTATGCGTAACAATTGACGAGTAGATAGTGAAAAAGCCAATGAATTTAAGTATGCATCAGATGATTTTCTAAGATTTTCAGCAACAGACACTAAACTTTTCATTGATTTTACACTGTTAGGATACTTGATAAAATAATCAATAGATTAAATTCAAATTTT